TGTGTGTCTGTGTGTCTGTGTGTCTGTGTGTCTGTGTGTCTGTGTGTCTGTGTGTCTGTGTGTCTGTGTGTCTGTGTGTCTGTGTGTCTGTGTGTCTGTGTGTCTGTGTGTCTGTGTGTCTGTGTGTCTGTGTGTCTGTGTGTCCGTGTGTCCGTGTGTCTGTGTGTCCGTGTGTCTGTGTGTCCGTGTGTCCGTGTGTCTGTGTGTCTGTGTGTCTGTGTGTCTGTGTGTCTGTGTGTCTGTGTGTCTGTGTGTCTGTGTGTCTGTGTGTCTGTGTGTCTGTGTGTCTGTGTGTCTGTGTGTCTGTGTGTCTGTGTGTCTGTGTTGTCTGTGTGTCTGTGTGTCTGTGTGTCTGTGTGTCTGTGTGTCTGTGTGTCTGTGTGTCTGTGTGTCTGTGTGTCTGTGTGTCTGTGTGTCTGTGTGTCTGTGTGTCTGTGTGTCTGTGTGTCTGTGTGTCTGTGTGTGTGTCTGTGTGTCTGTGTGTGTGTGTGTGTCTGTGTGTGTGTGTCTGTGTGTCTGTGTGTCTCTGTGTCTGTGTGTGTGTCTGTGTGTGTGTGTGTGTCTGTGTGTGTGTGTGTCTGTGTGTGTGTGTGTGTCTGTGTGTGTGTGTGTCTGTGTGTGTGTCTGTGTGTGTGTGTCTGTGTGTGTGTGTCTATGTGTGTGTGTGTGTGTCTATGTGTGTGTGTGTCTATGTGTGTGTGTGTCTGTGTGTGTGTGTCTGTGTGTCTGTGTGTCTGTGTGCCTGTGTGCCTGTGTGCCTGTGTGTCTGTGTGTCTGTGTGTCTGTGTGTCTGTGTGTCTGTGTGTCTGTGTGCCTGTGTGCCTGTGTGCCTGTGTGCCTGTGTGCCTGTGTGCCTGTGTGCCTGTGTGCCTGTGTGCCTGTGTGCCTGTGTGCCTGTGTGCCTGTGTGTGTGTGTGTCTGTGTGTCTGTGTGTCTGTGTGTCTCTGTGTGTCTGTGTGTCTGTGTGTCTGTGTGTCTGTGTGTCTGTGTGTCTGTGTGTCTGTGTGTCTGTGTGTCTGTGTGTCTGTGTGTCTGTGTGTCTGTGTGTCTGTGTGTCTGTGTGTCTGTGTGTCTGTGTGTCTGTGTGTCTGTCTGTCTGTGTGTCTGTGTGTCTGTGTGTCTGTGTGTCTGTGTGTCTCTGTGTCTGTGTGTCTCTGTGTCTGTGTCTGTGTCTGTGTCTGTGTCTGTGTCTGTGTGTTTCTGTGTATGTTTCTGTGTATGTTTCTCTGTGTGTGTGTGTCTGTGTGTGTGTGTGTCTGTGTCTGTGTGTATGTTTCTGTGTATGTTTCTGTGTATGTTTCTCTGTGTGTGTGTGTGTCTGTGTCTGTGCCTGTATCTTTGTCTGTGTGTCTGCGTCTGTGTCTGTGTGTCTGTCTGTCCGTGTGTCTGTGTCTGTGTGTGGCTGTGTCTGTGTCTGTGTCTCTGTCAGGCAACTCCAAACTCAGTGACACCTCTCCCCGCCAAGTCTCCTCCCACAGCTCCCTCCACACACTGCCAGTCGTGCAGCTTGCCCTGGAAGAAGCTCGCGAAGGTTTCCTTTGCACAAACCAATGGCGATCACCGCTTCAGACATTCGGGGCGCTTCAGTCCACCCAAAAAAAAGAGAGCCAAGGTTTGAAGGGAAAGCTTGGCTCAGCCCTGATGACATTTCAGGATGTCCTCACATCCTTGCATGCTCAGCTGCCACATGCTTGAAGTTCATCTTCAGCTGGGCAGTCTCGCGCAAACAGGCTGCCAGAAACTGGATGGCATGCCTCGCGCAGGGCAAAGTGAGAAAATGCCGGCAAGGTTCAATGGGGTTGTGGGTGTTTCGAAGGGAACAAAAGAAAAACCCACCCGCTTTTGGTTGACAACGTCATTCATTTTGAGACAAGTTGTATGAGCCGGCATTTTGTTTGCGAGAACTGCGGCAGTTGTGCACCCGCACCTCCGTCCAATCGGGTTTGCAGCGTCAGCAATTACCTGCGCACGTGAAAACACAAAGAACTGAGCCAACCATGTGTGTGTGTGCAAAAAACCATACCACCCCCCTCCCCCCCAAGCATCCCAAACGTCTGCGAATAAGTGAGGCCCCAAAAAATTGGCAAGAACATGCCTCCCTTTGAGACCTATGTCTTTACGTGTGCTCGAAAAGTCGGGCCCCCTGGGGGGCGCATTCCACACGCGGAGCAGCTCCGCGCCGTCTCCAGGTGCAGCACGATGTCCAGCAGCTCGATGCGCCGAGTGTCCAAAGCCTCCAAGACCTTCTTCAAGGTCACCTGGGCCGCAGGTTGGGCAGGTGAAGATGTGCAAATGGACGAAATCTATCTGGCAGTGGGTCAAAAAAGGGTAACCCCAAAATGGGTTGCTCTGGCAAATGGAAACATGGACTAAAACCTGCGGTCCCCTGTTGATTTAATTTTGACCCATACCCATCTATCTACTTAACCTGCTATGTCCAATGAACATGCAATACTTCCGCCTACACAAGTGGCTCTTGAATTTACTGACTCACATTCTCGCCTGCACCGAATTGCGGGGCCTAGCGAGAAAACCCAACGCTTGGGATCCAAGGGATGCCTTCAACTGCCACTTTGCTGAGTCCCTGGACTTCTCTTACGAGGCATGTGCTTTTTTCGGGGACTGCGACACGGAAAGCATCGCTGAAAGCGTCACCTCTTTGAGCTCTTCGGTAATGACATCAGCGTCCACATAGCTGTCGATAGCCTGCGCTATGATTTCGAGAAAAACACACACACGACGTCAGGACAGGCATCGTTGATTCTCCCGCAATGGCACGCGACTGTCGAGCGCGGGCCTGCTTCAGCTTTTCGCCAAGCCTTGACATCACAGCACAAATCCGCTCCTCGGATGGCAAGCCCTCTCGGAGGATCACAGCACCTAAAGCTTCAAACAAAGAACAACTTTTTCAGGACGCGATGCCCGCGGCCTCACATGCGCACAAGCTGCGCAGAAACGAGGGGAGCCAGCAGTGCTGACTGCAACGCTATGCTACGTCATGGTCTAATAAGGAGCGGCTGCGGGTCAGCTGGCCGTCATTCGAACATGCAAAGGTCAGTTGCTTCGGTTGCCCCAAGCGGTAGATCCAGCAAGCTATGTGACCCACCTCTCCATCATTCAATATGGGTGTGGCTCAAAATTAAGCAACTGGGGTTACGCGGGTTGTAGTCTACCTGTTCATTTACCAGGGTTCCATTTTGGACCCCCCAATTTTCGTCTTTTTGACCCACACCCATATGAGCCAGCGTCTATATTTGCTGTGTGGGGTGTATTCATTCTACTTTTAGTGAGTCCCCCATCGTTCTCCACGTTTCGCGTGTTCGTGCTGTGCCCGATGAACCCTCTGCAGGGATCGCGCGCCTCGAAGCGCTCCCACTGTGGCGCCGTGCGAATTTGTAAAGCGCCCGATGAACCCTCTGCGAGGATTGCGCGTGCCACAGCGCCCTCGCTGTGACGCCGTGCGAATTTTAAAACTGCCCGATGAACCCTCTGCCTCGCTGCGACGCCGTGCGAATTTGGAAAGTACCCGGTGAACCCTCTGCAGTGGTCCTGCGCGCCCAAGCGCTCTCGCTGTGGCGCCGTGCAAATTCGTAAAGTGCCCAATGAACCCTCTGCGAGGATTGCGCGTGTCAAGCGCCCTCGCTGCGACTCCGTGCGAATTTGGAAAGTGCCCGGTGAACCCTCTTCGCGGTGACCACGCGTGCCCAAGCGCTCTCGCTATAGCGCCGCGCGAACTCGAAAAGCACCCGACAAACTTTCTACGCAAACACAGCACTGGAACCACACGCGTAGTCTTTTGTAAGCAAATGCACTAGGCCTCACATTTGCAACTCGGGCCAATGCTCGGGGTATCGACGGGGTATCGACCGGGGTATCGTTCTGGGCGTGTGTCGCGTGACGAAAATTTTCACAATTTTCCATAAGCTGTTAGAGCCAAGCAAACACACAATAGCCTTCTCTGCCTTGCGGTAATCATATATCAGTCTTGGCGGCTTGCTTGCTGGCAGCAACCTCAAGGTCGCAAGTCGCAACTTTCACCACAAGCGCAGTGCACAAGTTACACTTCGGCAGCTCCAGCTCGAAGGTCGCAGCTTGCGGCGGTCACGTGTCAGTCTAAGCGGCTTTTGCTTGCTGGCAGCAACCTCCAGGTCGCAAGTCGCAGCTTTCAGTACAGGCACGGTACACAAGTTAGACTTCGGCAGCTCCAGCTCGAAGGTCCAGCACAAACCATGTTCAGGGGTATCGTTTTTTGTGAGCCCCCTATCGTTCTCCAAGGAAAATGCAAAAAACCAGTATTGAATGAAACGCCGTTGATAAAGTGGTCTTTGATAATTCTGAGGTTGACCCATATGCGTGTGAGGATACCGCAGTTGCAACCATGGCCCCTGAAATCTGCAGCAAGACATGTGGTCTGAAGCCCAGCGCCAGCCTCAAGCCTGGCATAGGCATTGCACAGGAGAGCCTGCCCGCGGAAAAATTCAAGCCCAGGCCGTTGATAAGCGGGCAAGCGAGGTGCGGGTGCTATGACCAAGCCCTCTCAGCCCTTCGCATCTAGCTGAGGCCATGTCTCGTGCAAAGCATAAGGCTCCCTTTTGCCCCTCACAAGCATTCTGGCCGTGACCATCGCAGGTTTTGGCCTGATGTATGCTAGCAACAAAGGACCACCACACAAGCAGCGCAAACGGCCAGGGATCCTTTAAGCAAAGGCTTGGCCCATTTCCACCGGAAGCCCGGTCCAGCTGCTGCTCCCCAAAGCCAGTTGGTGGGCTCCTGGCAGGTGGAAGGTAGGGGATTGAATCTACCAGGACCTCACGCCAGGGTCCCCTGAACATGCCCCTGCTTCCTCAGCTTGGAAGCTGGCAATGTAACCCTGCACATCTTGCTGTCTCACCTGAACGAAAGCCAAGCCATCTGCGTTCAACCGCGGAGTTGATCTTTCGTGCCCTTCAACCGGGCACCAAGGTGACAAGCAATTATGGATTCCCCGAAAACTGCAGCAAGCCTGCCACAAACATGTGCAAGCAAGGAAGAAAGGAAGCCTCCCTCACCTGCTGGCCGTTTTCACGGCCCCACATAAAAGCCATGGTCGACAAGGTGAGTCTATGTTGTAACTACCTTTCTTCTTTAGGGCGCAGTGCCGTGACACAAATCGGAGACCCTTTCTTAGAGACAGTCACTTTGCACCACATTCAAACACGGTGGAGTGCCAAGTGCTTTGCTTCACTGCACAAATAAGCATGACTTCCAAGAATTCAGGAAACCCATTCTCCCAATCAATGAGCTCGATAAACTTACGCGGCTGCAAGTTTCTTCCCTTAAACTTCCTCGGCTTCTGCCTCAACGTGCGCAACGTCCATTTGAGAGGCTGGTCCAAAAGCCTAACAAACGACTTTGTCTGTTCCAGGTTTCTCCCTATTGCGAACCCATCCCACCCCTAGACCCCCCCCCTCGCCCACGCCTCTGAATGGCGCCGGAGAAGGCCTGGAACAGCGCGAGGTCCCGGAACCGCAGCCGGGCATAGGCCTTCGAGCGACGGGGAAGCCTTCTTCGGGGAAACAATCAGCGCAAATGCCAGGTTTGGCCAGCGCGGGGCCTATAGGCAACGAACGAACGATTGCGAACGAACGAACGAACGAACGAAAGAAAGAAAGAAAGAAACAAAGAAAGAAAGAAACAAAGAAAGAAAGAAACAAAGAAAGAAAGAAAGAACGAAAGAAAGAAAGACAGAAGGGGAGAAAGGAAGGAAGACAGGAAGAAAGACAGAAAGCAAGAAAGAGAGGAGAAAAGAAAAGAAGAAAAGCAAGATACACATTCTACTGTTTATATATTGAAACTTCCGCCCAACGGCTTCGCCAGCTCTACTGGTACCCCTGGAATAAGCTCCTTACCGCCGGAATCCATACCTGAAAATCTCCGATGAGGGCGACTCACTAAGTTTCCCGAAGAAACTGTCTCTAAGTCAAAGCACTGACCCCTTGCCCTCTTTCCAATCATGACGTGGAGGGGAGGCTTCGCACGTGGCGAGCGCAGGTCCACACTCACAACTTGTAGGAACCCCCAAAGAAAGAACTCGGGTGTATGGGTAGCTCGTTTTGCCGCCTGGGAAGCTCGCTCTGTGAATGTGGGGGGCCAAAACAACAGCTGCCGCGATGGCCATCAGTGCCCAAAGAACCGATTTATGTCAGGGCCCTTTCTGAGTGAATTGGCCCAGAGTCTGAAGTTTTGTTTGCTGACCCTCCAACCATCCAAAGGCCGGAAACTTGGCATATAGGCCGAACCAAAGCACGGCACCTCGAAGGGGCAAGGCTCGCCCTGGCCAAAAGCATCCGCCCCATCGGGGCGGAAAGCAAGGCCCGAGCGTTCAGAAAAAGCGCAATGTCCTCGGATTTGATGGCGAATAGGAGTTCACCCCTCTGGCTGTGGCTCAAATAAATGTACCCAAAATGGCACCTTGGCAAATGACCCAAAAACTAAAACCTGTGCAAACCCAGCTGGTGAATTTTGAGCCACTGCCATCTGGCCTGGACTAAAATATTCATCTTCTGACTTCCCGGGGTGTTCCATCAACACCTGACCTGTGGAGAGGAGGCGAGGTTCTACGAGCTGGCTTTTTTTGGTCTTTTTGTTTTGCTTTTTTCTCCTCCCCGCGCGGAAAACTGCCAGCGGCCAGCTGGCGCTCGCCCAAAAGTCCGAGGGACTGGCCCGGGGCTCGAAGTCCTCTACGTGATTGAAAGCCTGGTCCGACCTGATTTGCCGGCGCTGAGGAGCATCCAAAGCCAGTCCAAAAAGCGCTGGCGAAAAACTTGAACCGCAACATGAGCCGGGAAAAAAAAGGCCGAGTGGATATTTCAGACGCAGGCCGCAAGAAGGGTTGTTAGAGGAAGGGTGTTTCTGGTGAAGTTCTCCGTTCGGCCCGTTCGGCCGCTCCGGCTTCGGCCCGGCTCGAAGGCAATCGCCTGAGCCTCCGCACAAGCGGCTGAAGACCTTGCGGTCGGGCACTTCGGCCTGCGGCAAAAGGCGCTAGCGCCCGCCTAGCGCCCGCGTTCGCCTTCGCCGAAAAAACGTCGCCTTTTTTCCACAGGTTGGAGTCAGGTGTGGATGCACTGTCCCCAGTGCTGTCCCGAGTCCCGGAGGGTTCAACATTTAAGATGGCAAACGGATCCAGTGGGCTCTGGTCACTTGAGCACCGGTCCCGCGCAAAGCCGTTGGCGATGAAAGCCATGTGTTTCGGCCTAGTGGATGCAGCATTGCCATCAGAGTGAACTGGCTGCAGGGTTGCATCCGAAAAACCTGCGAACGCAAGAACCACAGCATGCCAAACACCATGCCAAACACCATGCCAACGCGCATGTGCACAACACCAAACATGAATGACCACAGCTCGCCCGACCCTCCAAGCCGCACACAGTAGTGCCCCTGCATGGAAGAGCGTGGCCTGGCCAGTCAGAAAAGTCGCCCCGTAAGTTTCCGGTGACCTGAAGCAACGCGACGGAGCTGCCTCCGCGTACTCCCGCCACATGCGCAAATCCTCCATGACAAGAGTGTTCGAGGGGTGGTGGGCTGTAGGTAATGCTAGGCTGCCCGGCATGCTTCCTGGGTCCTTGCGATGCGACTCGCACAGCCTCGCGGGCTTTCAGCAAGTTGCCCTCCCGGCCCAAGACCTTCAAGCTATCCCGCTGAAGGCCCGACAGTGCTCAGCTCAGATGGAGACAGCTGCCTCGCATCAGGGCAACTCGCCGAGCCATCATCTTGAGACGGGATGTCATGGCAGCTTGCCATCACACGTCCTTTCAACCTGCCACCCCCATCTGTGCTGTCCCAGAAGGACATCTAGCAGTTCAGTGCTAGGACACCTTTGCAAAGCGAGCCACTGGCCCGTACCCTTGCCTGAAAAACAGAAAGTTGTATCAAGCTGTGGGTCAAAGATAGGCTTCATTTGGACCATACACTTCTGAAGCAGTAAGAAACTTCGCCAGTGGAGCTGTGCAATGGCACTTGCCCAAAACCTCTGGGCTCGACCCGCCCCAGTCGAGTTCCAGGGTCCCACAGGGCTGCATGCCATGTGCCTGCACTCAGCCAAATAGATCAGGCGAAACTGCGATGGGCGTCTGCTTGCATCTGGTGTAACACATCTATCTCCTGTCCGGCTGAGCTTGCTGGGTGTAAAACATCCAAGTGGTCTTGTCTGCGGGCTGATTGAGCGTTGGAACTCGCCCACCGAAGTCTCGCACTGGCCAGAATGACCGCTCTAAAGAATCCGCCTTTCCGTGGAAAGGATCTGCGCTGAGCGCATTCCCTAAGCGCCAAGATGCAGGCCGGGAGAGCTCGCAAGCCGGGGCTCACGCATTCATTGTTGGATGGGGCACTAAGTATCCCAAAACAGCTCGAGGAGAGAGCTTGGATTCAAATGACTTGTCCAAGTCAATGAAATATGCCTTTGGTTTCACTCCCTTGCCATTTCCTGCATCCATGGCGGGAATCGGTGTGAACATTGGTAGGTTCGTTGCATGCAATGACTAGGTTACCCCGCTCACAGACTCAAAGGCCATCGCAAAAGCGAGAGAAGCGGCCGACGTCAGCCAGGTGAACCTGCATCTCCTCCGGTAGAAATCGACTGCCTTCAAATCCAGTGAAGTTTCGTTCTTATTGAATGGGTCTGATCTAGCTTCGTCTGCCTTGTGACATCTTTGATAACCTGACCAGTTGGCCACTGAAAAGTCATGGCAAGAAAAAAATGCGAACGGGGATGGAAACGTGGGACAGCATGAATCTGGTGTCAGATTAAACTAGGCAAACTAGAAGTCCCAATGATGCAGGCAGAGGAATGGCATGTCTTCTGTCCTGGTTCTCCATGTTCACCGTCCAGCAGCATCCCGGCAGCTTCTTGCTCATGTTCCGAAGGGCACGGTTTACCATCGCTCGCTTTCGATCTCCACACGACATATCGTTGAGCCACTGGGGAAACGACACTGTTACCCGTTTCCCTGCCTCAAGCTGGGGCCGATGTGTCAGCACCTCCTCAATCACATGCCATACCGTGCTGGACAGGAGCGCCTGCACTGCATCCTCCTCCGGATCCTCCGCTGAAGGCTTGTGGGGCTTCTTCCAGCTCTTGCGGCGATCCGGGTATGCCGGCAGGTTCAAGTGGCGCGCCCGCCCGGCCACAGGGCGCTCCCAGCCCGGCTTGGGCTTGGGTACAGCCTTGGCCGCTTGAGTCTGAGGCTCCCAGCCCAGGATCGGGGCCAGTTCCAGCGGCTCCTGGCCGCATGGGCCCGGAAAGGCCGGCACCAGGGCTTGCGACTGCCCTCGCTTCGGCTTGTCCTCCAAGCGCCGCGTGCGGAAGCTGACAGGGGAAGGGGTTGGAAGCACTTCCTCCTGACGAGCCCGTGGGGGGGGGGTGGCCGGCGGCTCCCCACGTTTGTCCGATTCGCGAGGGGAGAGCTGCTGAGGGCCAGTGCCCCCGTACAGTTGGACAGGGCCGGCGGCGTAGCTGGGTTCAGCCACGGCCAAGTGCTCTGCCAAGTTCAAATGCATCGCACTCTCTGCCCCATTCATGTCCATCAGCCCCGTTTGCTGGGTGAAGCTTTGATCCCGCTGTGCGTTGGGGTCACTGACCAGGACGCACCACATCCCTGATGCCACTTGTCGAACTGCCACAGGAACACAGGCAGACCCACATGCATTGGAAGCAGCGGTCGCTGCAGCCACGGCGGATTGCAGCCCTTCCGGCGGCGATACCTTCATGGGGCTCTCTGGCCAGTCCCCTGGCGCAGGCTCAGCCATCAAACCGAAGCCCGGGCCGGGCATGAAGTTACCCGGACTTTCAGGGAAGGCCGCACCATCCACGAACGGCTGACAAAACTGTGGGTACCCTGACCCTGGCATACCCACTGGCGGAAACATGGCTTCAGGCCCCCACGCCATCATCGGCGCAGGCTGCGCGATGAGCACGGGGACTTGCTGGGCAAATTCCGGCGCCGGCGCGGCCCCAAAGGCGCACACCATCACAGGCTGCTCGAAGGGCGGGCGACACCAGGCCATGGGGGCGGATCAACTAGCTTCCGTGCAGACGAAGGTCTGGTCGACACCACTTCGTGTCAGCTGCAAGCCACAAGCCATGAAGCCATGCGCAGCCGTCAATAGCTGCCTTGCCATGTCGAGGGGACCCGTGCTTTCCCTCACCTGACATGTCAATCATGCCACATGTGCAACTGTGCCGCACCTGGCGAGTCTGCCGGTCTCGCCCTTCGCCTGAGGGCCGAGGTGAAGGTATCCCCTCCGAAATGATTGATTGGTTGCATCTCCTGAAAACTTGACGGTAAAATCCCCGAAAAAGGTTACCAAGGGCTGGGCTGTGCATGTGTCAACTGTAACATGTGGAGGTACATAAGCGCACCATATACGGGCATGTTACGGGCATGGCGTGTAGAACTAATATGTATTGCACATTTAAGGGGCACATGATGTTGGCGGCACGCAGCATGTTCCTGGCTCCCTCGCCTGCCGCTGGCTCTTGGGCACCATGAAGCCGAAGCTGCGCTTCGCGCCTTCCTTGTGTTCCAGGGAGTCCCTCAACTCGTGGCTCATGGGTAAGGGATGTCCAGCTCACCTCAGGTTGCCTTTCAGCCAAACACCTCAGTCCTGCTGTGTACTGTTGACCCTACCAATCAACCCCAATTCATGAAATAGGGGGGTGTTTTCCCCTCCAAAAGTGAACAATCCCCACTAAAACCAGGGACACCCTAAATTTTTCAGGGGTTTATTCATAGGGGGTGTTCCTTCGTTTGTCTCACCGAGCCCCACCGGAGATCCCCGGCTACGCCTTTCCTCCGGGCCCCACGGCCCATGCCGGCCGCACCGGCGCCATGGCATCTCCGAGCCGCGCCCCCCCGTTGGTCAAGGGGGCTACGGCGGGATCACAGGCGCGGGAGGGGCGCTGCCCTAAAAACAGGACAGAAGGAATGTGCTTGAAGAAACCAACTCAAAAACTCGACCTGTTTGTTGGCGTTTCTTGTTGTTGATGCTTTTCTTTCGGGGAGGGGCTATTGCAGGCCCCGTGGGAAACTATGCAAAAGCAAAACCACGGACTCGGTGTCGCTGCAAGGGTATAAATGGCCAGCTGCCTTCCCAAAAACAACACTTGCATCCAACTTCGTGATGACGTGTTGGCGGCATTTTGGTGTCTTCACTTTTCAGTCTCAGAATCAGGGTGAGCTTGAGCTGCCGCTTTCATTGTGCTGCATCATGGCTAAGCGATTTCGAGCCTCCCGCCGTGCGCATGCCACCCTTGTCGCGTATTCACGTCCTGTTGCGCAATAAACGCAACAAAGCGCCAGTCAGGCCAACAACACGCAGCATGCCCGTCGTTGTCCAGGTCGGACAATCATTATCATCTTCATTAACCACGGAGGGCCATGGTTGGCCCCTAGCGGCTTCGCCTTTGGAAGCTCACGCCCTCAATGGGAAACGAGGCCCAGTCTGCCTTCCACACAGCTTGCCGGAGCGCATCTGCCGCCAGTGGGGAAGACTGCACCGGGCACCTGGGCTCAGAAAGCGGCGCCCTGGGCAAACCGAAGCCCATGGCCGAAGCCAACGCCGCTGCGGCACCAAACGTGTCTCGCGCGGACTCCCCTCGCTGCAATGCCTGCGCAGGCTGCGCAGGCTGCACGGGCTGCGCGGGCTGCGCGGGCTGCGCGGGCTGCACGGGCTCCCGCGGCGGCGCCTGCCGTGCTTGCCGTGCTTGGCCCCGGCCTCCTCGTAGCACCGGCACCGACGTTGCTCGACGCGGCTCTGCCAGCGATCTCGGCGCGGAAGGTGCTGCAGGTGCTGCAGGTGCTGCAGGTGGCGAGCGTGGCGAAAATGCAGGCGCTGAGGCAGGCGAGGGAGGCAAAGGCGGCGGAGGCGTTTCGGCGCTCTTGGCTTTCGCCTTGAGCTGCCGAAGCCCTCTGCTCACTGAGACCTCCGATGCGCTGGCAGTGGCGCGGACACTGGCTCGCAAGTTCCGGTCCCGCAGCCTCTGCAGCAGCCTCTCACGGCGCTGCTCCCGCTGCGCGACCACAGAGCATGCAGAGTGGGTTCGTCGAGGCATCTGGTCTTTGCCATTCGGTGCCCTGCTTCTGTCAACCGGCTTGGGCTCCTGCCAACTTGTTTCATTGCTCTGGCAGCAGCTGAAGCTTCAGGCTATCTAGAAAGCTGCATGCCAGCCCGCGGCGTCCTCAGTTTGAAGGGCCGCATCCCGCTCCGCCGTGGTCTTGCGAAGCTCTTGACCTCGAGCCAGGCCGGAACCACAGCTGCTTGCTGCTTGGACATTGACGGAGGGTGAGCCAAGCATCGAACCATTCAGCAACAACAGCTAGACTTGCTAGACACATGTGCTGGGACTGCCACGAAGCTGCGCCATCGTCAGAGTCTGACCTCAGGCACGTTCGCCAACTGATGCTGGCTGGAAAGGCCGGCTTCGACCTGGCAATGGATTGATACTTCGTTTGATGGCAACATGGCGACATGTTGCAAGTTGGACCCTGCTTTAAGCTTTGGCTGGCGAAATCAGCACCAATTGTGTCAAGGTTTCATTCTTTTCCCTCCCCTGAAGATGCCGAGCATCGCGCTTTCAGCTGCCTCTTCCGCGCAGGCCTCTGCAAATCGGGAAACGCAAGTGCCACGCACCGCCACTTTGCCATCCTTAGGGAGTGTGGAACACTCTTTAAGGGCGGCGCCAACTTCGATTGCAGCTCCTCCGATTCCTGCTCCTGGGAGCGCAGCGCAGAGAGCCTCGGAGCAACGTGGCCGGCAATTCACTCGGAAAGCGGCGGAGCATTGGGTCAGCTCAGCTTCCTCAGCTGGGATTCCGGCTCCCTCTGTAGCTGCGCTTGCACCTTCACATGCATTTTTTGCGCCATTTTTGCCGTCCAAGAAGCAGTGGATGGCTTGGATGAGTCATGGACTCATGGACACCCAGACTTCCAGGAGGCAACAAACCGGCAGCCCACGTCTCCCGCCTCCTCCTTCCACAGCTCAGAGTCTTCCTCGGCTGCAGCCTCCTGGCGCTGTTGTGAAGGGACGTGTGACGTCCCTCAATGCAGGAATGATCGCAACTGAGGCGGGAGAAGAAAAAAAACGGTGCTCACGCTCCTATCCTACACTCAAATGCGCTGAATTCCAAGCAGTGGGCTTCTTAGAAGTTGGCTCTAGTTGAGGCCTCAAAATTGGAACCTCACAAGTGGCCACTTCCTGAGAGCTCATAAGCGCGCAGCGTGGGCAAGCCAGCAAACAAGAAAGCAGGATGGCAGGAAACAGGCGGGGGGGAAGCAGGGAAGGAATGCGCAAAGCAGAAAAGGAAAACAGGCAGGAGCAAAAGAAGCATAGCAGCTGGCAGCATAGCAGCAGGTAGGGCTGAAAAAATACTATGGCAAAAGGGCCTAAAGGGTAACCAGTCATGAAACCACCTCGGCCTTGCGCTTCCGCTTGTGAAAACACTTGCGCGGAACTGGCGCGGAATCTTACGAGTCAAAACGGCAAAAATAGTGTGGTCTTTTGGAGCAACCAACAAATTTCAAAGGCACTTATGCTGGCACTGATGCTTCCTCGAGCCACCAAACTGTTCGGGATGCAAATCCGACTTCAGCGAATCTTGTGATCAATGCACTATTTTGACTTGCGCGGGAGCGTGCTTGTTCAAACTGGACACGCCGAAATCCAAGCAGCGGCCTACTTACCCGAAAACTATTCGAAACCCTGGGATCCCGAATACACAGTAAGTATGCTCCGGTTTTTTTTGACTCGACGTTGCTTCTGGGTTGGGCTGCGCCTCAAAGCGCGCAGCTTGAAGCAGGGCCGAGTCCCGCTGCGCCACAGTCTCGTTCAGCTTCTGGCCTCACAAAAGCAAGCTGCAACTGACACAAAGCCAACCGTCGACCCAAGCCATCAGGAGCAAACCAGCTCGCAAAATGAAGCGCTCTCCCTCTCTCTCTCACTCTCTCTCTCACCGGGACTGCTACGCAGATGCGCCAACGTCAGAGATTGACCTCAGGCATGCTTTGTCTACTGGCTCCCAAATTCTTGGAAGGGCTGTCACTCAACAAAATCCAAGCTTGTGATGCTTCCGGTCCCTGCGATACTTGTCATGCCTACCATGCTTGCAAAACCCGCCCCACAAATGCCGAGCATCGCGCTTTCAGCTGCCTCTTCCGCGCAGGCCTCTGCAAATCGGGAAACGCAAGTGCCACGCACCGCCACTTTGCCATCCTTAGGGAGTGTGGAACACTCTTTAAGGGCGGCGCCAACTTCGATTGCAGCTCCTCCGATTCCTGCTCTTGGGAGCGCAGCGCAGAGAGCCTCGGCGCAACGTGGCCGGCAAGCGGCGGAGCATTGGGTCAGCTCAGCTTCCTCAGCTGGGATTCCGGCTCCCTCTGCAGCTGCGCTTGCACCTGTCTCCAGTAAAATTGTTCATCTTGACTTGCGCCATTTTGGCCGTCCAAAAAGCACTGGATGGCTCGGATGAGTCATGGACTCGCGGACCCGGACAGACTTCCAGGAGGCAAAAAACTGGCAGCCTCAAAGGAATTGGCTCTCGCCTCCTCCTTCCACAGATCCGAGTTTTCCTCAGCTGCAGCCTCCTGGCGCTGCGGCAAAGGGACGCATCACGTCCCGCGGCAACTGACGTCTTTCATGGGTTGCGCTGCGCCTCAAAGTGCGCAGCTTGAAGCAGGGCCGAGTCCCGCTGCGCCGCGGTCTCGTTCAGCTTCTGGCCTCACAAAAGCAGCTGCAACACACAGAGCCAACCGTCGACCCAAGCCATCGGGAGCAAACCAGCTCGCAAAATGAAGCGCTCTGCCTCTCTCTCTCTCTCTCTCACTCTCTCTCTCCGGGACTGCTACGCAGATGCGCCAATGTCAGAGATTGACCTCAGGCATGCTTTGTCTACTGGCTCCCAAAGTCTTGGAAAGGCTGTCACTCAACAAAATCCAAGCTTGTGATGCTACCGGTACCTGCAATATCATGCTTGCAAAACCCGCCCCACAAATGCCGAGCATCGCGCTTTCAGCTGCCTCTTCCGTGCAGGCCTCTGCAAATCGGGAAACGCAAGTGCCACGCACCGCCACTTTGCCATCCTTAGGGAGTGTGGAACACTCTTTAAGGGCGGCGCCAACTTCGATTGCAGCTCCTCCGATTCCTGCTCTTGGGAGCGCAGCGCAGAGAGCCTCGGCGCAACGTGGCCGGCAAGCGGCGGAGCATTGGGTCAGCTCAGCTTCCTCAGCTGGGATTCCGGCTCCCTCTGCAGCTGCGCTTGCACCTGTCTCCAGTAAAATTGTTCATCTTGACTTGCACCATTTTGGCCGTCCAAAAAGCACTGGATGGCTCGGATGAGTCATGGACTCGCGGACCCGGACAGACTTCCAGGAGGCAAAAAACTGGCAGCCTCAAAGGAATTGGCTCTCGCCTCCTCCTTCCACAGATCCGAGTTTTCCCCAGCTGCAGCCTCCTGGCGCTGCGGCAAAGGGACGCATCACGTCCCGCGGCAACTGACGTCTTTCATGGGTTGCGCTGCGCCTCAAAGTGCGCAGCTTGAAGCAGGGCCGAGTCCCGCTGCGCCGCGGTCTCGTTCAGCTTCTGGCCTCACAAAAGCAGCTGCAACACACAGAGCCAACCGTCAACCCAAGCCATCGGAATCGGGAGCGCAAAGTGAAGCTCGCTCCCGCGCTCTCTCTCTCTCTCTCGCACCGGGACTGCTACGCAGATGCGCCAATGTCAGAGATTGACCTCAGGCATGCTTTGTCTACTGGCTCCCAAGTTCTTGGAAGGGCTGTCACTCAACAAAATCCAAGCTTGTGATGCTTCCGGTCCCTGCGATACTTGTCATGCCTGCCATGCTTGCAAAACCCGCCCCGCAAATGCCGAGCATTGCGCTTTCAGCTGCCTCTTCCGCGCAGGCCTCTGGAACTGTGCAAATGCGAGTGCCACGCACCGCCACTCAGCCATCCTCGGCCCCTCAAACGCACACCTAAGGGCGGCGCCAGCTTCGATTGCAGCTCCGATTCCTGCTCCTGGGAGCGCAGCGCAGAGAGCCTCGGCGCAACGAGAGCCTCGGGCAAGCCAGCTTCCCACATTTCTGCCATTTTTGGCAAAGAATCAAGCCCCAGGCTCTCTCTGCAGCTTTTGTGCTGATGCCTGCAGGGGGCACGCTGGCTGGGAGTAGGCTTCTCCCTTGCATGTGAAATGGTATCTATGTTTGAATGACTGTAAATATCCAAACTTACCATGCCGTGCGGCAGCAGGTCTGTTTAGTTTTGGAAGCATGCTGTACGCCGCACCCAGACTGCCCGAAAGCACAAAGTGATGGGTGTGTGTGGGTTTTGAGGCGAAACCATCATTGTCGGGGTTGCCTAAAACAGGACACATCCATGTGGCACGAGTGAGCGTGGAACAAAGCTACAGTTCGTCGGGAGTAATTCTAGTCTGGGCCAGTTCTTGCTTGCAGTCTGCGCAACTAACAGGTCCATCCCTGCATAGTCGGCAGAAGTGAGTCCAGTTTTCGACAATGACTAACTTCCACTTCCCTCTGGCTGCGGCCTTCTGCAACTCCTTCTCCTGCTGCAGCCTCTCCAGCTCTTCCACCGAGGTCGCCTCCCTTCGCTGAGCCTCGGCCAGGTGCTAGAAGCACATTCGTGCCGCCCTTGGGTTTGATTTCGCCCCACAAAATCCGAAGATGCGCCTTGTGAGCTTGCCAAAATTTGCCAAACATGGAATGACCCTCCACGGCAAACCCAAGAACTAAACCACCTCGGTGAAACTTGGTCGGATCTTTCCTTTGACATGTTGGTGGAAGCAACTCAAAATGGGCCCGCTTCTTTGGTGGCGTGCGGTGCATCACAGCAAATGCATCACGGGACAAGGAGTCTGTCTGCTGGGGAGACCATCCACAGCGGGCTGACTCGTAAAGATGGCCAGAACCACAAGGAATGTGCCGGGGGGGAAGGGCAACACAACACATGTGAGACGCTGCCCATGGCAAGTTCTCTTCACCCAGAGGGAGAGGGCATTCTCCAACCTCAGCTTTGCCACAACCTGACAGGGGTCCCTTTAAAAGGAAGATGGTCTTCAAGGATCCCTTCCTGTCAGCGTGCCAGGGTATCTCTCTGCTTGTCACGGCTCGCCTCCACCAGCTCTCGCTGCTGCGCGCGCCCGCGCCTGCCGGCCTCCTCCTGAAAAACCAAAAACCAACGGCACTCAGCACGAAACTTGCCGCGGGCAGGGCGCGGAGGGCTCCAAGGTTCCAAGTTTGGCTCTTGCGCGGTTTCTTCACCTCGCCGGACGGCGTTGGGTGGGGCTACCCATTGATTGGTTTGAACACGTTTAAACCATTGGTTATGATGATGATTGGTGTTTAAGCCATATTTTGCCCCACCCTGGTTGCAGAACCTGCAAACCTCCGCCTGGACGCCCCGGCTAGCTGCTGTCCTCTGCTTCTTGCAAGTGGAGAAGGACCTGATCCTGGGCATGCGCAGAATGACAGGAAAGCGTCCGCTATGTGGCGGGTAGCGGATGGTGGGAGAAAGGATTGCCAAAAAAAGAACGGCGCAAAATCATGGAGGGGCCGGGGCTGGGAATACAAAAAGTGCCCGATGCGTTTTGGGAAGAATTCGATGTGGCTGCCGGCCCAAAGGGTTGGGAATTGAAACAGCACGGCACCCAGTCCCTGACGAGACTAACACGGAACCAGCTCTAAACTAGCACTGGGCAAAACCAAGCGTATACCAAACCAGAACTGCGCCCACAACAGCCAGAACCCAAAGGACACACGCTGCTCAAACAGCCTGAAGGAAAGTCCCTGATGCTGATCTGGAACAAAGTGGGCAAAGCCAAGCAATACTGAGCAACCCGAAATTCTGCAGTCACTGGCTCCAAGCCCATCCAACAGAACACTCAACACTTCGCGGCGACAGCTTCAGCATGGGAATCCGGGTTTCAATCGGCCATAGGATTACTACGCAGGCACACACCAAACATGCCCTTCTGGACTCTAGGAAGCCGCTTGGATGCGGTTTTGTGGATCCACCCCTGTAGGCAAACTAAAAGAGTACTAAAAAAGAACCTAAAGGGGGAAGAACAGGTGAAATCCACAAAAGGCGCATCCAAACCGTTTTCTAGATGGACCAGTCGTTCACGTGATAGCTTTCTAAGCACATGTGAACTCGGGTTGGCCCAAGCTGCAATGCGCCACTGAGGGCGCCACCCGCTCTTCCTCGACTTTGGCAAGGGCACGTCGCAAAGTCGCCTCGCC